AAAAAAAAAAAAAAAAAAAAAAAGAAGTTCCCTAAGAGTAATTTTTTTATGCGATCAAACTCGAGAAATATTATTAACACTAATTTGTGTAAATTACAGTTATTCCAGTACATTCTAACCCCTCTAATTGGAATCAGAATTATTTTTAGCTATGGTTTTGCTCTCATTCATTTAACTCGAACAATAAATTCCAATTCAGCCGGAATTCCGCTAAATCGGAAAACATTATTTGGTTGTCACTGGTAATGTTAGAAAATGACTGGGAGTCAACCATGATTAAGGATGGCACGCGCCTCTTATCTATAGCGTCTCAGGTTTATTACTCTGATAGACAGGGCATCGAAATAGGGTAGGTCTCTCCATTGATTCTAAAGTTTTTCTCCGAGTTCTAATATTCCTTCCTCCACAAAACCTAAGTCACTAAGGTGAAGTTCCAATTCGATCTGTGAGTTAGACATGTCCTGATCTTGATAAGCCCAGAGGTTGTTTCAGGGTTCGATCTGTGAGTTAAACCTTGCCCTGACTTTCCAAGAGGATGTTCCAGGGTTCAATCACTTTGATCAGCTTTGCTTCAGGGTATCGATAATGACTGAACCAAACACATAAACTATTATATTTAGCACAAGCATGATGATTTATGTTCTTTTTTTACTGTCTGCAGCCCTATCGTACTTTTCGTGATGTTTTTTCCCTTCGCACTTCTGTTTTTCTTGGTGATCACTTGTGTGACAGGACTCAGAAGTGATTACGTCACTTCTATCTCCCCTCATGCCAACACAGGATGGGGCTCTTGGGGTCGCGCTGACTGGTGTCCATTTGGACATTACGCTTACGGTTTTCAGCTCAAAGTAGAGGGAAACCAAGGAGGCGGAGACGACACAGCGGTTAATGGGATCAGGCTTCACTGCAGGTAATTTAGGGGGGTTAAATTACAGTCAAAATGGACATGGTGGAAGCAAACGGCGCAAAAAGTTGATTTTAACCTCAGAAATAAGCAATAACCCCATTGTTTTGGTTAACGGCATTACACTACTCGGGTATTTACAGCATTTACTTTTTTCCGACTATAAGCAGTTAAGAAAATAGACAAAGTGATGTCCAATCAAATATATGGTGTTTTAAAGTTAAAGTCTTGTATCTTGAAAAGTTTTTATTCTATATCGTATCGTAGTTTCGATTTAATATCTATATCACAATTTCTCCCATGTTATACATTATATGTGCTTTCCATTTCTGGGATTTAATTTTGACACAACTGCTTGGTTTAAGTAATTGATTCAAGAAATTGAAACTTTAGAATCCATAGCAATATTTTAACTCGTTATTAAGGTTCTTAAAGTGCCTATCACCCTTCTGACGATATTCTCAGTATTGATTCTACATTGGGTAAGATGTTGAATAACACTAAAAAAATTTATAGTTTGAGTGCGGCTTCTTGAAGTTATAAAGGTTTTTCCATGCCATATATACTAATGCGGCTGTGACGTATGAATAATCATTTAATATACAAAACCTTACTGGCACAGATAAATTGAAATCACTGCAAGCTAGTTTTCACATAGAAGCCGGTGATTCGAATTACGAAGAACAACACATAAACATAGTTAATAAATGTCTCCTCATACGTCGCAGCATTAGCATATGACATGGAAAAACTTTCATAACTTCAAGAAGCCGCACTCAAACTATGAATTTTTTTCGGGTTATTCAACATCTTACCCCATGTAGAATCAATACTGACAATATTGTCATAAGGGTGATAGGCACTTTGAATAATAACTTGGTTATTCCTTTTTCCGAGGTCTGCTTGTCACAAGTTTGGTGGTGACATCACATCTTCTGTCATGGTTTGGGGAAACTGGGAAAACTCTAAATATTGTTCGTGGAACAATTTCCTTATGGGAGTGTCTATGAAATCTGAGCCGCATCAAGGAAGAAGGGGGGACGACACGGCGGGTATGTTATACTAGCTAAACTCTGTGGGAACATATATAAGATATATAAGTATGAGTTTGGTTGAAAATATCAAGGAAATAACCTCCAATATATAAGAACAAGACTAGTTCCTGATTGTGTTACCTGTTTTGTGATTTGTCTCTCACTATTTGCCAAAGTAATTGTAAATCTTTTTTTCCCATTTTTTTAGTGAATAACTTTCAATTTTTATGCCAATCAATTTACCGCCACCACGCAATCCATACTCTGACCGGTCATGGGATGCCCTGGGGACATTGGAGCAGTCCTGTGCATTGTCCCAAGAATTCTTACATCTGTGGCATCAAAACCCAAGTGGAAGGTTTTCAGGGACGCCGCGGAGACGACACTGCTCTCAATGATGCTATCTTCTACTGCTGCAGGTTGAAAAGAAAGACATGGTATGCTGAATATTCATTATATTTTTCTTTTCGAAAAAACAAAAACAAAAACTGCTTAGCGAGGTTTTACAGTTTTCAAATGTGGCTGAATGAATGTCATTGGCGTTTCGAATTTTCTCATAAGACCATGATTGAATAGTTCCAAGTGAAAGATGAAAAAGACCGGATACGTCCCTATATTTTGCGTATAAATTACGCTACGTAATTTATTATTTGGATTAACTAATATGATTTCATGTATCGTAAAATTAGCACCTCTTTCCACATACCAATTTTTAACTTTACACTAATTTTCTTCTAGTCGTGGCTAGCTCAACCGGTCCCAAAGATGAGCCTACTTGTCGCAAACAGTAGTTGCAAGATTGAAAACAATGAGATGTTACTAACTGATGAACTGGTAAATTAAGCAAAAATCAAACTAATAAACTTAAGTAAAGTAAATTTAAAATAATCAATTTACTTGTTCAAAAAGAAACTGATATATCAGTATGAGTTAGCTGTAATCTAAAATTAAAGAATATGGGACGATGAGAAAAGTTAAATAAAACATTCCAAGCATGTTTTGCAGTCAGGCTTTTTTTCCTTTTTGTTGTCTATTTTATGATCTATATCATACGTTACTTTGTAAAATGCTCCCTTTTCGTCACCGAAAACTAGCCTGTCCACACTAAAATGAGCCCGGGGAAGGGGGGGTACTACCACCCCAACTTGGGTATGGGTGTGCCGCCACGACCTCAAAACCCTGACCCTATCCCAGACCTTAAATTTTGATTTTACATACCCTACCCCAGACTAAAACTAAGAATTGTACACCCTATCCCAGACTAAAAGACGGAAAATACGGTTTTACACTCGATTGCAATTAATATTTACTAACATTTATATTGTTTTTGTGTCGGCAGAAAGCGCAGCCTATTCGCCAGACAAAAATGACCAAATCGTTAACCCTATCCCAGACTAAGATGATATCCTACCCCAGACCCAAAAAACCATACCCTATAGGGCGGCACATACCCATATAGCAAATATAGGGGAGTACCCCCTCCCCCTCCCCCCGGGAAAATGAGCAAAAACGTACTCGTAGATACGTTCGGAAAGGATTCAGTCGTCATCTATGCATTCCAAAAACAGACTTGCAGGTATGAATGATCGACATACGCGTTTTCAAAAGCTTCTACTTTGGCATGTCCTCACTAAACGCATCGAAAAGTATGCGTTTTCAAACAAATTTATTAGTTTGGAGGTAGCCTTTATTGCATGTTATTTGTACTATACTCAAAGTAGAACACGAAAACAATCATTTTGTTCCTATATAATCTTAACTAAGGAGAATAATAAGTTCGTAAGATTGCTCACTTCACTAAGATGAAAGCTAAATGCGTAAGATTGCGCACTTGACTAATGTAGACTACACGAGTAAGATTGCGCACTTGACTAATGTAGACTACACGAGTAAGATTGCGCACTTGACTAAT